CTTGAAGAGCAGCCACAGACTGATTTCTGTTCATTACCACCCTTCAGTCAGGTTTCTCTTTGGTCATAACAGGTAAATCCAAAACAAAATGTGAATCAGAGATCTTGGGTTGGTAGTAATGAGTATTCAGCTCAGTGCAGGTGTATGTTAACAGCTGATGGACTACACAACAAAAGTTTGGACTAGTCATGGCTTAAGTCCATATAGGTCACAGCTACCGTGGCTCTGCCCTCCAAACTGTCTTTCACTCACACCAGAACATTGCCCATGTGGTCAGGCAGCAAGTTGGTTCTGGGAACCAATCCAGCAAAAATATATTCCTTTTTGTTTCCAGAAATTAATCACAAGCATTAGTACCAGAGGTTATCGTTAAGGAGAAAATGAGGGTGTCCTACTCAAAGCAAGGTTGGTTGGACTGTGGCAGTGCAGACATCCTGAAAAGCATCCTGAAAACTGTTCCTTCCCTCACCTGTGCTACTGAAGAGCCTTGGGCAAAGGGACGGATGGCTGGCTGAGGTGGAAACCTCTACAGCAACTGCAGCTGGATTTGACAGGGCAGTAACTCAGAGTGGATGCACAGAAGTTCTCCAGACTGTTCTAGAGATTTTTTTGTTTGTTTTTTACTTCTGAACTATATAACTTCCCTATAACTCTTTACCTAACAGCAATCTGAAGACAACCAAATTCAACTAGTAATTAAAATCAAGTCAACTTCTCCTGGTAGGGTATCTCACAATGCATCAAGAAGGTAGAAACTGTCTGTTCTCTATAACTCTTGGCAGTGCTGAATACACTACCTGTGGTTAATGTTATACTTTTCTGGTATTATGACAACTTAAACTGGTTGTCATAACAGAAAATATTAACAGCCCACTACACTATATGATCAACTGAAAAAAAAATTAGTTACTTAATTTTTGTTTGCTTTCAAAGCAATGAAGAATTTCAACAGACTAGAATTCCAAGAAATGTTTTTGCAGGCTTCCACAGAAGGACAATTATGTTTCAGAGAGCACAACTAGAGAGAGTCTTAGAAGGTGAGCCTTATGATTCAGAACAATAAGAATTGACAAGATCAGAAACGCTAACCTCAAAACCCGTGGAAAGTAGATTAATCATTTCAGATTAATCAAATTTATGCTTTAGTTTTCAATAGCAATGGATAAAAAAAAAAGCTCAAACTCTCCAACTGAGTCTACAGCCTCAGATCTCACTTTAAAGCCTCAAAAAAGCACACTCTTTTCTCAAATGTCTATTGGCACACTCACAATATTATGTAAGTGCCTTTTGTGGAGCTACTTGAAACACCAAATTACTTTCAACTCACTTGTCTTATGTAAATTTAGTCAAGTGCCTCCTCCGAAAAAAAAAAAAAGTAATACAGAAATTAAAGACACAGGATATCAATATACATGTAACAGATGAAAGCTAGAAAAATTGGGGAAGGAGTGATCTCATTCCCTTTCATACACAGTGTTCTAGCAGGAAATGTACCACTGCTACATTCGAGTAAAAGATCAGACACCATAACCAGCAACTGAAAAAAGAAGTAAAGAGAAAAATCAAATAGACTAAAAACCAGAACTGTTTTCTTGCACTGACGCTAAAATGGACTTCACAAGGGTGACAACTGCCAGTCAAATAAAAGGTAAATCAGTGGGGTCACAAAACAAGTTTGGGCAAATCCTGAACCGGTGGCAGATGCCACTGTTGTACTGAAGGCAGGATGGTCAGCTGAACAAGTTTAATATAATTCTGCTTCATTGTTTGTATTTCTTTCGAAATACAGTCTACGACACATTAAATGAGATCAGCCTTTTCTCTATAAAATACAGCACCTTGATTTAGAATTCATCTTGGCAGGTTAAGAATTAAGATAAATCTGACCAGAATTTTTCTTTTCTTATACAGCCAGGTTTTGAAGATTGCACATCTTTTTCCACACCTCTCACTGCAATGGGTACTACAGTGAAACAGCTTCTAAGAGATACTTTTTGATCCAAATACCTGTTCACTGAACATTTCAACTGAATCCCAATTTGGCAGCAACAAAACCAAAGGAATTTTCACTTTTCTCTCTCTCTCATACTCACCGTGGAGAAAATTCTTCAAACAGATCTATGTTAACTAGATTTAAAAGACTCTAAGATAATATTACCATTCTTCATACCTGAACAGAAATACAAAATCCAAATGAGCTGAGTGTCTCAATGCTCTCTGTTTAAACCAGAACAAAACAAACAGTACCAGTACATTTTTTCGGTCTCAAAACAATAATAATAATAATCATCATCATCATCATGCCTCTTGCAGGATCACAACACCCAAAGTATCATTTCTAAAACTACAGGCTAATAAGGTTAACACTTTTCTCAGGCTGACATACAGTTTTGTCTTCTATTGTAAAACTGATTCTGTCAGAACTTTTGACTTAACCAAGTAATTGGCATTTAGGAGATTACAAATCGGAGCCAAAAATTCACTATTGCTATCAGAGTGAAAAATGTAAGTGACTGAGAGGTCAAATGAAGAAAGAACTTACATTTATTTTAGTACCTCGAGATTATTGTAGACATTTGGTAACAAAAACATGAAAGATTACTGCAATGCAGTTTTTGACAGATAATATTTTCTGTCCAGACTGAATAGAAAGAACTGCAGAACTTCAAGATTGTAATCGTTTTGTACATTTCTACGTTCAAAGTACTTTTTTAAGCAAAATATTTCACCCCTGCAGCTGCTATCTCTTAGATGTACTGCTATCCTTCATTTTCATCCTCCCACAACTGGGAAAGAAGGAAGAAATGACAAGACAAAGTTTTCAATCTTGAAACAAGAAAGTTTATATGCTAGAGCAGGAATAGATAAATGAATCCCAAGAGCATTATGAGTTTCTGCAATTGTATCAACAATAAGAGGCTGCGTAAGTTGCTTCCTTTCCCGAGTCGGTGTTAAAGACATGCAGGCATTTGCAAAACCACGTTATAAAACAAAAAAGAATTTATATGAGCTTTTACTGACAGATGTCTCCCAAAAGAGGTCAATGCCAGGTTGTTCTTCCTCAGCCCAGATTTGCAATCTGTTCTTATCTGATTTAGTATCTTATTGTTCTGCTGTTCAAAAGAATTATATGTATCTTAAACACCAAGAAACAAGATCGAGTAAGACAAAGGCTTAGTATGAAACTGTAAAGCTGCAGCGGCTCTGATCCATGTTTATCTGTACAGACTTCATCTAAAAGTCTGAAGCTGAGCAAAGCAGCACTGATTGTAAAGCACAACTCATACATGCTATTAAAGATACAGCAGATGCGTCTGAAGAAAGGAGGCAAAGTTTACAAGGAAACAAGGCTTATGACCTCTCACAGATAGGCTTTGCAAGGCTTCTTTGGGGAAAGATACATTGTAGAACTTATTCAAAATAATAATCTAACAGAAGGAACATCAGACAAGACTGCAAGGAGTTCTAAGAGGTGATAGAAGATGAGCATGAGAATGGCTTTTAACAAAAGGTTTTGTCCTTGCATAAAAGTAACCAAAGAAAAAACAAGGCTAACCCTTATCATCCTGGCTTAAATCCTACTGTCTCAAGAAAAAAAAAAAAAAAAAGGGACATTCTAAACAAAGACATAGATGTAAACAGTCCTTTCATTCCCACACAGGGAATCTGTTCTCCAGCCATAGCAAGGATTGCTCTCTAAGAGAAAACACCCACGCACTCCCCTCTCATCAGCAGATTAATACACTCTTACCGTGCTTCAATACAAAAAGGCAACCAGATGTGAAACAGTTTCCAGAAACAGTAAAAATTAATCTAATTTTGAACTGAATGAAAACCAGACAGACAATTTTTTTTTTTTTTTTTAAACTCAAACCCACAAAATCAGGATTCCAGCTGGTGAACGTGCATGGCCCTTCCTGAGCAGCCTTTTGGGTACTCTTCCAGCACCTGGAAAAGTCAGGTCCCAAGGTGCTGCAGCTTGAAGGCAGAGGCAAGCTGCCATCAATTAAACATAAATCCAACATGTGAATTTTGAACCTTCTCTTCAGTAGTACACAAGAGTTGACTTGCAACTTGCCAGATACAGCCACCAGATTGAAAAGCTCCACCATACCAAATTCCTTCTTTTAAAAAATCCATTTCAGCTTGCAAAATTCATTGCTGGTTTTTCTAATCTTATTTTTCTTTCATATCTTTAGTAGTTCCATGAAATATGTATATAATTTCATACATGTATATAAAACCCTCTCTCTTACATATTTTCCTCTTTCACGTCAACTTGGAAAAAGCAGTCTTTGAAGAACGAAGCCCTGCCAAAACAAACCTAAATGGTACTAGTTTCTAGAACTTCCTACTCAGAAGCACTATATCATTTTCTACACTTGGATTTCTTCACCATGATGTGCCATAAAGCCTAACCGACTATGTGATTCATCCGATATCTGCGAGTTTTGCGTCTGGTGACATTTTTCAGAGCAATGTTCTCTTCAGCCCAGCTGTTTTTCGGAGAGCCCTGAGCAGCCACGCCTCGCCTAGCACCGACCGTACATCCCTGAAGCACGTGGCTACGGCCAAACACAACTGGGCATCGACACACTTTTTAATTTCTTCCAAGAGAAAGGAAGGAACGTATTTACTTCTGGCTGTGCAGGGCGGCCCGCAGAGCCACCAGCACACAGCCATTTGTCCTCCAGAGAAGGAAGGGCAGAGGGGCCGGGCCGAGGGCTCTGACCCGCCGGCCCCAGGCAGGGCAGCGCAGCGCAGGCGGAAGGCAGGGCGCCATTTCGGTGCAGCCGCAGCTAGAGCGAGCGGGCGGCAGGAGGAGGCGACGGGGCAGCGCCCGGCCCAGGCCCCGCGATGGCGGCCCGCCGGCCCTCCTTGCCCCCAGCCGGGACGAGGAGCCCGGGCACGCGCTTCCCCGCGGCTCTCTCGGCCTCCCGTCCCGCCCCGCTCGGCTCCCTGCGGAGAGGAGGAAGAGAAGGAGGGGAGCGAACACGCACCTTCCCCAAGCAGCCCCGGCGGCGCCAACGGAACCCCCGCCTCCGCCGGGCCTGCCGGGGGCGGCGGGGAAGAGGAGGAGAGGAAGCGGCCGCGGGGCGGGGTAGGGGGACGGGCCGCCGCGTGGGCCCGCCGGTGCCGTTCGGCTGGAGTCGCCTGGGGGCTCGAGCGGCCGTTCCGGGCTCCAGCGAGGCGAGGCCGGCCCCGCTGCCAGCCCTCAGCCCGGGGCCGGCGGGTATTTGGCGCCATAATTAAAACGCTGGCGGCGTCCACCGCGCTCGCAGCCGGCGCTCGTCTCCGTGCCGCTGGGAACGGGGCACAGGCACAGCTGAGCGCGGCGCGGCCCGTCCACAAGTACCGCCGCGATCATTTCAATAAAGGCGTGTTTATAAAAGCGCTTGGGTAAATGAGTGCGATTTCTTCTGTAGATAAGATCTGAAAATACAAACACGGGGCTTAATCTGCAAACACTTGAATTTAAGCGCTCGATTAGTTCCATTTAAGTCAATGGGACTACTCTAGTGCTTGCAGGTAAGTGTTTTAGGATCAAAGCCCTTGGTGCAGTTCCAGAAGCTGCGCTATCAGGAAGACAGTGAAGAATTCCCCTCTAAAATTCAACGCGGTGTTATAATATTCACATTCGCCCTAAGTGAAAAGACTGCAGTGCTAACGAGCGCGTTCCTCGGGAAAGGATGTGAAAGAGGCACTGCAAGATAATGGCTGTCCTTGGGGGCCCAACTCTCCCTTCTATTGGTCTGAGGTGAGGAGCTTGTATTTCTCACCTGTGCTTTTCAGTGGGCAATCTAGGTGGCACGTTCTTGCAATGTCCTCACCTGCGTAGGTCACAGAGTGCTTCTGTGGGATGCAGTATTGCATTTCACTTAAACTGCTGTAGTCTTCGAGAGCTCCGTTCCATTGAGGGAAATAACTGATTAAATGAAGCTGTTAATAAATTGCTGTTAGAGCTCTGCCTGCCCTTCTGTCTCTTCACAGAATCACAGAATGGCCAGGGTTGGAAAGGACCTCAAGGATCATGAATCTCCAACTCCCCTGCCACATGCAGGGCCACCAACCTTCTCATTTAATGCTAGACCAGGCTGCCCAGGGCCCCATCCAACCTGGCCTTGAACACCTCCAGGGACGGGGCATCCACAACCTCTCTGGGCAGCCTGTTCCAGCACCTCACCACTCTCATAGTAAAGAACTTCCCCCTGACGTCCAACCTAAATCTCCCCTCCCTCAACTTGAAACCATTTCCCCTTGTCCTGCTGTTACCTACCCTTTCAAAGAGTTGATTCCCCTCCTGTTTGTAGGCTCCCTTTAGGTACTGAAAGGCTGCAATGAGGTCACCCCACAGCCTTCTTTTCTCCACATATCCTCCCTTATAGGCTGTGTCAGAGGCAAGGACTCCATGAAGAAATTATACACATATTGATTGAGGTTATAAGTCAGTGGTTGGGTATCCTGTAAGAAAATATTCCATTCTCAAAGGTTGGCTGTTGCCCCCACAAATTCTGAAACTTAACCACCAATGCATGCATCTCCCTTTTGCTTCCAAGGAGAAAGAGAATGGAGGACAGACTTGAAACGAAGAGCTAATGTAAAATTACAGTTGCATTTGAATTTACAATCTAGGTTGGTTCCTTCTCTGTTCATTTCCCCCCTTTCAATTAAATTACTTTCCAAACCTGATTTCCAATTAATTCTTCCTGAATTAGCTCCCCTTAATAATGCTTGCACAGCCAGGAGTTAGAAGGATGAGTGATAATGAGCTATCTTGTTTCCCTATCATCAAATAGTCAGAAGGATGGAGAAATCTAGACATGTCTGTCACTAATCCCAGGATCAGAGGGAAAAGAAGAACACACTGCTCACATCTGCTGCTGTCTTTGCTTGTGAAGCAATAAATAAGAAAGTGTAAAGAGACATAATAACACAACCTAGAACTCCACCCTGCTCCTTTTCAGCCAGGAACATGCACAAATCTGTTTATGGGTTTGAAATACATCAATACCCACTTAGCCTCAGGAAAGGTATTTCCATCTCTTACAGTATTTTCTCATATTTTGTATTATTCACTAAATGCATAATCTTGTTTTTCTTTACTTTGCAGCTTTAGGACTTTCAGATTATTGTTCTTCCCTCCTAGGGATTATAATTTTAAATCAGGGAGAGGCTGGAGCTGAAGAGACCTGTGTTCAGTTTCCCAGACTTTGTATACTACTCTGGGCAAAACTGTAGCCCCTGCCCCCAAAGTCACCCATGTGATCTGTCTTGAATGCGTGTGAACTTATTAAGATTATTCAGGTGCTTGAAGTTACCCATAAGGATGTATCTTGAGGGGGCTGCTAGATGACACTGCTAGGAACAGTGTCAGAGTAAAAAACTAATTTAATATTCGAGACAGGGATTGCCTATATATATATATATATATATATATATATGCATATATAAATGTCAAGAATAATCAGAATTACGTGATTGTAACTGTGCTTCAGGGAATAATCCTGTACCTAGCTTCTCAAAAGGAGGACGATATCTAATGTGAGGATGGATGACACTTCTTACTGCAGGATTTTTTCACCTTCTTTCACACAGTATATGAAGCAACTGGTGCAGTCTGCTGTTGGACATGGGGTACTGGCTGAAAAGATCTTGAATCTCTTCTGACCTGACAGCTGCTTGGTACATGATTTTCCCTGCATGGCACAGAGCATAGGTATGATACTATTTCTCTGCGCTTTGTTTTTCCAGTCTGTTTATGCTACATACTTTCTGGAGCAAGGCTGCTTCAGTGGCATTTGGAACTTCACTGAAGTCTCTACAATGCGACCGTATTAAAATAATAAAGAAATCACAAGCATGTTCACACACTAATTATTATGCAAAGTCGGGAGGGGGAGGGAAAAAAGTGTGAGACTTCTTTGAAAGGCTGCCAGCACAGGTAAAAACACAAAAGGTGTTTGAAGTGGGAGCACACTCTATCAGCCTGAAGGAATTACCGATATAGCAGCTCCCCTTGTTCAGAAGCATGCTCTCAACTTTCATGTTATGACATTTGTTTACTTTACTGAATTATTTTCCTTTTTTTTTTTTTTTTTTTTTTCTCTTACTTTGTCTCCCAAGAGTCTCCTTTAGGTTCACACTTTGTTTCAGTACTACTAGGAAGTTTTTGTTCGTTTCAACTGTCCTTTGTAGCTTTCTTTCTGCTATAGCCAGGAAAGTATGGACTGCTAATTAATGTAGACTTCAGCTTTTATTTCCTCTTCTTTTCAGTTAAAGGAGCTGAAAAGAAATATTCTGAAGTTCCCAAGAACTGCTGCTTTTCAGGTCTTCCTGAAAAAAAGTGTTCAGGTTTGACCTTGACTTGTATGTCTTTCCATTCATGCAGCCTGGCAGCAAATTAATATATCCTAATAGTCCACATAGTGGAGAAAAAGTTAGAGACACTGAAAGAAAGACAGCAAGCACCTTGTGGCATCCATCTTTCTATGCAGTTTTGCTGGCTTTTCTGCTACTGTGTCAGAGACCGTTTTTTTTTTCATGTCTCAAGAAAGTTCATCTGCAGAGAACAGAACATCTGAAAGCAGGAGGTTGGTAGGGCATGCTTGCTTTGTGTGCACTGCTATACAGGTTTACTGTCAGAAGTCTGCATTAGTTGCCCTGAGTTTCTATGCGGTTTCAAACTAATTTGATGTAAGCCAAGAAAATTCAGTCTCTCTTCCTGAAGTGAAATTTCTTCTCTGAATAACACAAGCCAACATATAGCTAACAGCAGCACGCCACTGTGTACGTGTTCCAAGAATGAAGCAGTGTTGGCATCTGCAAGCCCTGGGTTCTTACCCAGTGTGCAACAGCCTTTTGCTCTTACAGCCTCTCGCCATGGGGGCATGAAGCACCTCAAATAAGCAGAGATGAACACACATGCTCCAGGGACATAAAAATATCAGTAACTCGTGACATAGCCAAAGTTCTGGCAGCAGAACTTGCTAGTCAGATATGATCTGGCAATGAAAGTTTTCCTGTAGATTAACAGAAGATTCCAGTGGCAATACCTTGGACATACCACAGAGAGGTTTTTGTTAAGCACTGGATGAATGTGTTCTGACTGGAATGTCTTCACAAACTGTGTGACCTGTTCTGCCGTTGATAGGGAGCAGAGAAAGGGCACCTGATGTAAAAACAGAGATTCAAGTAGCAGTGGGTTCACCTGTATTAACAGGTTTTTCACTCCTTTGTTTACAAGAAAGAAAAGTCATATAGATACCTAACATCAATTATCACGTATTTGCATTAAATATATATTAAATAATACTGCTCTAAATAACTTTCTTATGGTGAAAGCATTCAATTATAAGCACTTTCACAGCAATTCTCAGAGGTTGTTTGCTCTCCTGTATATACGCTCCCTTCGAATACTAAAAGGCCACAATGAGGTCTCCCTGGAGCCTTCTCTTTTCCAAGCTAATCAAGCCCATTTCCCTCAACCTTTTTTCATAAGAGAAGTACTCCAGCCCTCTGATTATCTTCATGGCTCTCCTCTGGACCCAACTTCTCTAGATCAGCTATAGTACTGTGAGATGGAGCTTTCTTGAAGCAGCAGATAGGAGACAGATTGACAGAAACTGAGCGCCAAAATTACTTTTACCATCTGAACATGCGTGAAAGTATGAGGATTTTGGTTTTGTTATTTTTGATGGCTTAGAATGCAAACAGATAAAACACCCTATTCTGTACAAGGAGCCGCTGCGACCCAGCTTTACCTGCGTGTTGCTCTAAGTTCAACTGCAAGACTCTGAACTGGCCAGTAAAGCCAACCAAAGATAATAAAAAATTAATCACTCATGGGTATCATTGCGCTAAAAAAAACAACAACAACAACCTACATTCATGGCAATTATCTGCAGAGTATAATGGAAAAAGTTGTCCACCTCTTCTGATTCCCTTTTGTAAGTAAGTATTTAGAAGATAGCAAATTTTTACGCAAATTTTCAAATGTCTGAATGACCACATTGTGAAGGATTTGATACACATGCCGAAAAATACTAGGAGCTGCTGTAAAACTATGTATTACTTTTTAA